AGCAGCATCCACGTCTCTTCTTGGATCCTGGGTAACCATTTGTTCTGAAGACTCTCTTGGTCCATTCTCAGACTCTAGATTAGTCATTACAGAACTGACTGAAATATCTGCCTCTAGCTCTTTAGCATCAGAACCTAAGGCAGAAGTTTCCACTTTATAGGAGAGAGAATCTGATTCATCCATAGATGCTTCACTTATATCAAGAATGATTGTGGCAACTTTATTGGTTTCTAGAGCCTGATCTTCAAGTATTTGGATTTCATTTTTCTTGCCTTGTTCACTAAATTGTTCTATAACAGATTGATTGTCTGCATCGTCATGCTCTGTCTTTGCAGTGATTACTTGGCTAGCGATGGATGCCTTATTTCCATCCAAGTCCTCAGGACTTTCTATCTCTTGTTTGGTTGACATATAAGGTTCTAGTTCCACTACAGCAGTACCAGGTTCTTCTTTGTCCTCCTTTACTGAGAGAGCTGCTTCTCCACTTTGACTTGATGTTTCAATTTCTTCACATTTCCCGTGGTTGTTTGAGTCAAATGAGTCTTGAATAGGTTCCATTTTCCCTGAAGTTGTAATTCCTGGTTGCTCTCCAAAATCTATCAACTCAACTTTATTTTCTGCTAACTGACTGTCTGTTGCTTGAAGGTCCAGTATTTCCACCTTGTCAGGAGATACTGGGGCAACTATGGAACTTGTTGGTGTTGTTGCAGTAAATCTGCTATTATTCTCCTGATCGGTAGTTGATTCACTTGATTGTTGAGTTAAAGAGTCCCCGGCTGTGTCCGTCTCCTTTCCTGTTTCCTTCATCTCCAGACCACTGGTCCGGTCAACCATGGCCTCTGGGTGAAAAGGTTTGGATCCATCAATGGAGTCAGACGAGGTAGAAAGCTGCTCCTTGGTAGCAGCATCCACTGAAATATCTGCCTCAGGCTTTTTAGCATCTGAGCCTAAGGCAGAAGTTTCCACATTATAGGAGACAGAATCTGATTCATCCATAGATGCTTCACTTATATCAAGAATGATTGTGGCAACTTTATTGGTTTCTA